TTCCCGTCTCTCCCTCCCGTCTCTCCCGTCCCGCCTGTCGCTCCCATTCCTCCCGACCGTCACTCCCGTCCCTCCCGGTATTCCCGGTGTTCCCTCCCATCGCTTCCGTCCCTTCCTCCCGTCCCTCCCGTCCCTCCCGTCGCTCCCGGTGTTCGCTCCCGTCCCTCCCTCACGTCTTTCCCGGTACTCCCGGTGCTCCCTCCCATCGCTCCCGTCCCTCCCGCTGTTCTCTCCCGGTGCTCCCATCACTCCCGTCTCTCCCGGTATTCCCGGCACTCGCTTCCGTCCCTCCCGTCCCTCCCGTCTCTCCCTCCCGTCACTTCAATTTCCCCCGATGTTCCCTCCCGTCTCTCCCGGTATACCCGTCTCTCTCTCCTGTCCCTCCCGTCCCTCCCGGCACTCGCTCCCGTCCCTCCCCTCCCTCCCGGGGTTCTCCCCCGGTGTCCCGTCACTCCCGTCTCTCCCTCCCGTCTCTCCCGTCCCTCCCGTCTCCGGTATTCCCGATGTTCCCTCCCGTCTCTCCCGATATTCCCGTCTCTCCCGTCCCTCCCGGTGTTCCCGGTGTTCGCTCCCGTGGCTCTTGTCCCTCCCGTCTCTCCGGTCCCTCCCGTCCCTCCCATTCCTCCCGGTGTTCCCTCCCGTCTGTCCCGGTATTCCCGTCTCTCTCTCCCATCCCTCCCGTCCCTCCCGGTGTTCTCTCCCGATGCTCCCGTCACTCCCGTCTCTCCCGGTATTGCCGGTGTTCTCTCCCGGTATTCTCGGTGTTCCCTCCCGTCTCTCCGGTCCCTCCCGTCGCTCTCATTCTTCCCGATGTTCCCTCGCGTCCCTCCCGGTATTCCCGGCACTCGCTCCCGTCACTCCCGTCTCTCCCGGTATTGCCGGTGTTCCCGTTTCTCCCTCCCGTCTTTCCCCTCCCTCTCGTCGCTCTCATTCCTCCCGATGTTCCCTCCCGTCTCTCCCGGTGTTCCCGTCTCTCTCTCCCGTCCTTCCCGTCCCTCCCGGTGTTCTCTCCCGATGCTCCCGTCACTCCCGTCTCTCCCGGTATTCCCGGTGTTCCCTCCCATCGCTTCCGTCCCTCCCGTCTCTCCCTCCCGTCTCCCCCTTCCCTCCCGTCGCTCCCATTGCTCCCGGTGTTCCCTCCCGTCTCTCCTGGTTTTCCCGTGTCTTTCTCCCGTCTCTCCCGTCCCTCCCTCCCGGTATTCCCGTCTCTCTCTCCCGTCCCTCCCGTCCCTCCCGGTGTTCTCCCCCGTTGCTCCCATCACTCCCGTCTCTCTCTCCCGTCTCTCCCGTCCCTCCCGTCTCCGGTATTCCCGATGTTCCCTCCCGTCTCTCCCGGTACTCCCCGTGCCCCTCCCATCGCTCCCGTCCCTCCCGCTGTTCTCTCCCGGTGCTCCCATCATTCCCGTCTCTCCGGTATTCCCGGTGTTCCCTCCCGGTGTTCCTGTCTTTTCCTCCCGTCTCTCCCGGTCCCTCCCGTCCCTCCCATTCCTCTCGATGTTCCCTCCCATCTCTCCCGGTATTCCCGGCACTCCCTCCCGTCCCTCCCGGTGTTCCCGGTATTCGCTCCCCTCTCTCCCGGTACTCCTGGTATTCCTTCCCATCCCTCCCGTCCCTCCCTCCCGTCTCTCCCGTCGCTCCCGTCCCTCCCGGTGTTCCCGGTGTTCTCTCCCGTGGCTCTTGTCCCTCCCGTCTCTCCGGTC